TCGGGCATCAGGAGAACAACACTGAAACATCAGATATTATTACAGATCATCTATCTCCAGTCAGCTCATTGTCCTTCTGTATGTCTGTAGGAATTTGAACTGAGAATCTCTAATACATAATCAGTATGTGAAAATTATTATTTTATATTTAAATTCTATTAGATTAATATTTTATGTTTTAAAATACCATACTAAATGATTGAGAAGTTCACAGAAAGCACTGTTTTTTAATGACATTTTTTAAATACTTATATAGAGTTGATTTATGTGTCATCAACCAAAGAAAATGATATTCTTAGTCCAGACTGATCTGTTATGCTGGATTGCTCCGGTTCACTAAGTCATCTTGTCTGTTAGTATCTACAGATAAAAATGGATTATACTCTTTGGAGTGGTCCATAACATTAGTGACAAATAAAGATTAATTTTGATTCAGTTTTAAGATTTGCTGTGTCTGGATGCAGGGGTAATGCTCTTACATCAGTGGGTTTTGATCTAGCATAGCTTTAAGATCCTGCTGCTTCCTGAATCAATTCCACTCACTCACTTTGCCAACTAATGCTTTTGAAAACATTTTTGCTGCACCTTGGCCATTTTTGCACATCTGTATTCAGATATATTTGCCCTTTGTTGTATTATGCTCACTTTGTTTGTTGCTTGCCACATTTCTTTTGTGGTCTAGCCCTACCAGGGGACTGTATTCTCATGCAGTTAAAAATTAGTGTAATCATTGGATGTGAACTGTCACAACAGGACTTTCACTGCAGACAATATTAATATTGGTATTTTCATAAAATTATTTGCTTGAACAGCTAACAATTCTTTAATCAGCCTAGTGAAGATGATATAAGCAACATTCCTGAAGGCTTTTTCTGTTTGTATTTCTTTTATTCTGTCGCTTACGCTTTCCTAGGCAGTGATTCCTTTACAGTCTGAGTTACGTTATCTGGTAAATAGACAAGTGTGATTTATAGTTTTGCTGTGACACAGACCTACTTTTCTGTATGTGAACAGATGTTTACGTATGTCATTCAGGAAGGGCATATTTATTTTGCTCTGTATGGTTCTCTGTTGCGGTGGCCCTCAATTTCTTAATAACTTTCCTAGGTGTGATGAATTCTCTAATTTACTAATATGGGTCATTCTCAATTTAAGATAATAAAGCCTTCTGGCTACAACTTAACTTTTAAGATTAATAATAGCGGTATTCCATTTCTCCATTTATCACTAATTTGCACCTTGTTTTTCATTAGAAAAATAGTTTTAATAAGGTTTTGTGTTTGTCATGAGAAAAAAAAATGGAAAGCAACAATAAATTTTAGGTATACAGTCACGTAATGACTTCTGAAATATGGCATTGAGTATGAAATCATGTGTGTGGGAAGCAAAATTCAGATACACTACTGGCTTTTTCAGAAGCTTGTTGAGAAATGCAGTCAGAACTGCCTATAATATTATGTGCCTCCTTGAGGTGCACTGAGTCTAATAGTGGAGTTGTAACACAGTTTTTAAAATTAATGTCTTAATATCCATGTAGTAGTAAATCTGTAATTTGTAACCAAACACATTCTTAGCCAATCTATCTTCAGTAATACATGGTCAGACCACCATTTCTGCTCTTACCTGTTTTTGATTAATTCATATATAAACCCTACAGAAAGATTGTTTAAATTGACTTCTTGTTAATTTCTTAACTCCTTAACTTCTAGCTTCATTCTTTAAGTATTTTACAAAATTCAAACATTCAGCTGTCAGTGGAAAAAAAAAGTTTCATTCCAGTATTAAGATAAACTATCTGGATTAATAAACAAGCCTGATTTACCATAGAAATTGATTACCTTGGAAAAGTCTGAAGGAAGACATTAGATTTAGTATATGTCTTAGGATCATGAAAGGTAGGACTCTGACAGTGCAGGACATAGTGTATTTTAGTAAAGATACAGCATCAAGTCTTGTATGTATAAATGCTGGGACTATTTGGTGAAGTGAATGCAGCCCAATTTCAGATATTTCGATAGTGGGAAGGGCCTCCTTAGGTGGGACTCTAGCTGGGTAAAATTACAGTTAAATTTAAAAAAAATAAAAATACTACAAAATCCAGAAATGGAGGAGGAATGCATTTAGACTTCTGACTGGGAAGAGTTTGTTCTTTACACAGGATACTATTAAACTAATAAGCATCTGTCCTCTGTATTAGATGAAGAAAGTTAAACACATGCAGTGAATGCATTAAAATAACCATTTGGGAAATTGCAAATAAACATACGAAAACATATGATCACCAGTTTAATAAATTGCTGGGGTTTGTACCCTCAAAGTATTAACTCATTTTTCTCTTGTAATTTTATCTTCAAAGAAGTAAGGACATATTTGCACCGTTTTCTTTATAATGGATAAGAAGAAAATACAGTTTTAGTCTTTTAAATATACATCAGAAATTAAGCTCTTATCTATACTATAAAACTTGAAGGCTATCTAGCAAACAAATCCAATTATGGCTTAAGCACTGAAGAAAGTGAAATCTGATTTAATTACTTCTCTCAAAAGAAGATTACCTCTTTCAGCTTTTATTATGAAAACTCTACAGTTATTTTTATCACTATAAAAAAAATAAGCTTGGAAGAGAAGCTATTTTCATGGAGTTCACATTCTGGTCTTTGTTACTTAATACTCAAGCTGAAAATTTGAGTCCTTATACAAACTTCTGATTGTGTAGAAAATAAGCTAAAAAAAAGCGCTTTATGATAGATAATATTTGTATTCTTAGATATGGGATTAAAAAAAATTAATTTAAGCATTAGAAAGAGCAAAATGGGCATGATTTTTTTCAAATTTCATTATCTTTATAAAAAGATCATCATTATTGCTGAACATACGTAAAAATAACAGCAGGCTTTACCAAATGCAGTGAAAATATGCTGTTATGATATAAAAAAAAGTTGGAAGTGATGAAGTCACATTTCCATTTCATTTAAGAGTTCTAGAGCTGTTTCAGGAGTGAATGTAGCTTTATATGTAGCTTTACATTTGCAAGAGAACAAAATACAGGGCCATTGCCCTTGCTGCTGCTCGGATGAGATCTACAGCCTCTGCCGAGTCCTCAAGTGAAAGGGCTGAAGGACAGATAAAGGATGAGCGATAGGATTGTACCCTATGCAAATAAGATTCAGGTATTTGCTCAAATCCCACTTGCCTCCTTGCAAAGCGGTACTTCGTATGCATAGATGTGGTTTAGTCTCTGGATATAAAATCAGGCATGATAACCAATTAGTTTAAGTGTCCATTTCTCAGGAAATTAGACTGGAATCGTAAAAACTTCATACATCTATATTAAAAACCGAGACTGGCAAATACTCATTCTACAGAAAAAACTTGAAGATATTTTCAAATTTAGTCATGTATCACCCTAATGGAATAAGCAGTGACAATTAATTTCCTGCTGGGCAAAATTGTAAGAGAGGCCAGGGAAGAGTACATGAAGAATGGTGTGAGGAAGTGGATGTAATTTTTATTAAATTGAGATAACTTTTTAAAATTTTAATGTAAAACCCACCCAAAGCTCTCTATAGATAAGCGACATGAAAAGATATTCTACTATGTTCTACTGTCTCCTTAAAAGCCTATCAAATATATAATGCTGGTCCAAGCAAGTATCACCCAATTAATCCCACTGGTTTTGATGGAAAGTATAAAATGCTGTGAAGACGTTTGCCTTAGTTGGGTAAAGTGCCGTTATTCTATGTCTAAACAATTAGAAACGTTACTTAAAAATCTATTATATTTTTGTTAGACACTCATTTCTTTTGGCCAATGATATTTAAGGTATCTTAGTTTTGATAGAAAAATTGGATGGATAGAAGGACTAAGCAAAGGGAAATTTAACAGTGAGGAAAGGAAGTAAGCTGAAATAGTAAGAAGGAAGAGAGAGGGAGAAGAAAGGAAGAGGAAGAAAATACTTGTATGAAGAAACTCCTTGTGAAATATTCAGTAGGGAATTTTGTCTCCAGGTGGGATCTAACACACATTTCTATTGACACATACCATGTAGATAAGCTTTGAGAAGTGAGACTCCTTTACTCATATGTTGCGGTTGTGCCCAGTAATCCAAATATTCTTGGGTTATCTCAAATATTATAGCTAAATAATAGCAACGTTGTCAGATAACCATTTTTCTTTAAATTTGTCAGTTTGCCTCTTGAACATTTATCTAAATTAAATTAATTTTGTGTGATCTCAAAATTCATATTTTTATTGGGCCTTGCTGCTGCTTACTCCCTAAATCAGAAAATCTGTGATAGACAACACCAGGAGCTCTTCTGCTCTTGAAGGAAGTGCCTCACCAGGAAGCACTGGTAGAGAAGAGGGCTAGATACTTACAAATTTGAATTCTGTTTCTGACTTGGAGAACAAAAGTCCCCAGGTTAAAGTGGCTTTCTAGTTACATACTTTGAATTTTAATCAATAATGCTGAAGGCTTTTCCTGCTTAAAATACTTCTGCATTGATAAAGTAGGTAATTATCACATTATAAGAATAGTTAATTTTATTTCTTTTAAGAGTATTATAATTGCAACTTTGTGAAATTCATGTATATTCCAAAAGTATTGGTGGCTTTTTTATTGGTGGTTTGAAGCATGTGCAAAAATTGTAGATGGGGTAACGTTAGCAAGAGGATTTCAACTCCCTTAGTAGTCTAATGGAGAAAATGGGGTTCCTTATTTCTGTTGCTGTCACTCATGGGTTTTTGAAGTTAATCTCCGTGTGACTCATCAACCTTTTAAGGCATAGAATGCTATTTCAGCCAAATCATAAAAGTAATATGATGCTTTATTAGTGTTTGAACTCTAAAAGACCTTTTAATATTTTGTTGAGGTATGCATGGTAAATCTAATATTATTTAATTGTAGAGCAAAGCAAGAGGTGTGTTACAAAGGGTTATGGTTATGATTATTGTTACCAGTAATTTTATAACTGTGTCCTTTGCTTGTGCTCCATGTATAGGGAGTTGGTCTCTCAGTCCATGGACATTTCCGAGTTGCCACAGAAAAGACACTTTTCGCAATGCCAGAAACAGCAATAGGTAAGTATTTTAACAGATTATCACATGTTGATGTGTTTAAGGAGTCACTGGCTGTGTAATCAGGATGAAATGTCTTTGTCTGAAAGCATTGGCAGTAATGAAGGAATTTTAGAAAGGAATTGGAGATGACCATATATGGAAGTATTTTCTATTAAATTAATAGAAGCTTATCTGTATTCTGGGAGGTTAATCATTGAGGTTCTTAACCAGGGGTTTACTATCTAGAATGACACAAAGACTGTCAGGATACAATTTTTTAAAAATGGAAGTAGATCTGAGGAACTAAGTCTGTGCTACAGATGTAGACCGATAAAGTCTGAAGATCCTAGTGCAAGTATGTCAACTTTACGTTTCGAACTCAGTATGAGTCAAACTGGCTGTACTGCAAGCTGATCTGCAGTGTTAATGAGACAGATGTTGAAATTCCAGCTTTTTGTATAGATTATTATTGTAGACCCATTACAGTTGCGTACAGATTGTGTGCAGGCAAGATCAGAGTGTCGTCATCTTTTTTTTTTTTTTTAAATAGCAACATGTACCTTGTGTTTTCTAATGTGTGATCCTGCAGGTTCTTTGTCAACTCTGAGATGTACAAAAGAAAATGGTGCTGCGTCTCAGAGCTATATGAAGATGGTAGTATGGCTCAAGAAAAGTCAGTCAGATTAAAGTGAACCCTCTTGTGAAATCATTCATGCTTCCTTTCAAGACAGTCCTGGCATCAACAGGGTATCCACATTGAACCTATTATTGTCTGGCATATATACTCCACTAATGCTTTCATCAATGTCCAAGTCCCTTCTCCATGGTTATCAACAATGTTTATGAAGAGTGCTCAAAACCACCTAAAACCTATCCTGCATTTCTGTCATGCAAGATTTCTAGTTTCCACACCTTTCCAAAGCACGGCAGCTGAAGGATGATTGCAATTGTTCTTATCTTTATGTCCTCAAGCAGAAGAATGAGGCTAGTCTGTAACATGTGGCCCTGTTGAACACATTTGTTCAGAACAGAGAACCTGTTTAACCCGGTGGTTAAACAGCTTAAAAGGCACAGGACATGGTGCTATTAAGTTCAATCTTTGTTTCACCTCAAAGAATTGGTTGTAAGGAGTAGTGACCATAGTTTCCTTAAAAGAATTTCCAAACAGTTATGTAATGTTAAAACTAAGAAAAAACGTAAAAAAACCAAACCAGGACTCAGTTCTGAAAACAGAATAGAAGTTATAATATTCTGCTTTTGTTGAGAATATTTTAAGTACAATAATGTCATTACAATTGAAGCTAAAATGCACGCTTAGCTAATGATAGGATTTTTGTAGTGACCCGTTAGTAATGCATAAAAGGTCTAGCATTTTTCATGTTTTCAAAGGGTGTCTTACACATATTATCTATTGTTTATTGCTATCCAGCCTGTGTGAAACATGTCACAAGACTTATTCTGAAATTCTTAAGATATTAAATGAGCTGTGAGTGTCAAGTCAAATAAAACATAACCCCCCCCAAATATAAGCAAGCTCATTATTATTTTAACTCCTGAAAAAAAAAAAATTTGAGCAATTTCTGCTAGCTGATAAATGTCATGTAATTTTTCTGAACAAATAAGTTTGGTATGAGAAAAACAAAAACTATTACAGCCCTCCAGATATTTTTCTCTGCTGAAGGAAACCTTAGTAAACTAAATAGCTCAAGCATTAATACCATGTGAATTTGCTAAACTGCTGAAGTGCATGATCAGTTGTTGTACAAGAAAATCATTTGAAGGAAACAATTATTTTTTAAAAAAACTAAACAGAGAGGTTCTTTGGCATATAAAATTATTCTAATAGTAAAGATACTTTTGCTTTCTTCTTCAAAGGTAAAGATATGAGTAGTCTTATATTAACAAAAATAATTTACTTAATTTATTGTGTTAAACAAAAATAGACTGTGAAGACATGTGAAGAAAAAGCTTAGAACTTGTTTAGGGAAGAAAGTAATTAAAACCCTTTTAGGATCATTTAAAAGTAAAACCACTGAAATCTGTTTGGATTTAAGGGCTTAGCTCTTTTAATCTGTGGTGTATGTTTAAAATGTCTACCTGTCTAGATATTGTATTAATTGATTTTTTTCATATGTTCACTTATTTCAGTATGCGTGACACCTTTTCTGTGAGATGAAAACATTCAGCTGCTACATTTTCACACAATTATTCTGCAGTTATACACCACTATAAACAAAAGGAAATAGACAGATATGCCACTTTGCAAATAGAAATAAAAGGCAGTTCTAGATTGTAGGAGTTTGAAACGGACATAGATAGGATAAAGCACTGGAAAGCAGCTTACACATAGGAGGGTGTGGACAAAACTGGTGAGAAGAACAAAAGGCGAAATTATATTGTAAGAGGTGGGCTTTAAGGTGATGCTGTAATAATAGTGGATGCTTACTTGTATATCCCTCTAAGTTTTTAGCTTTCTGTAAGTCATTTACTAATAAATCTCCAACCACCTCTGCAAGATAAGGTAGGAATGTAGTAGTGCTACCTTTATCTTATGCTTGGCAACTGCAGAGTTTCAGAATTGGGACTACAGTGAAGTGTGTTGCATCTGTCTCGGAGCACAGACTGCAAGTCAGCGTTACAGGCATAGGCGTTTAGCCTGGTCAGCCCAGCAGACATTCAATTCGTCTCTTATTTAAGTAGGGATTTGAGAAATAATTTGTAAATAGTACTAAAAGGAAAAAAAAAATAAAGTATTTATGGAATATGTTAAGAGAATCCCAGTAGCAAGCAGAAACATATGAGAAGCATTATTGAGAGAATTAAGAGGAATATATAGAACAGGGACAAGAGGAGTAAAGTTACAAGAAGAAAGGAAGACAGGGACCTTGAAAAGGATACAGTAGAAGCTATAGCAGACTACATTTATCCAACCAAGTAAGTTTAAAGTGGATTAATTACACCTTCACTAATCCTGTTTGTAAATTCCTTAATAATTAAAGAAATTTAGTTTTATTTGCCTCTAAAGCAACTTAAGCTAATCAACTTCAGTTTATTTAGAACTAATTTCCCTGTGTATGGCCATGTGGAAGGGCCCTGTAGATCCATATAGGAAGATGGCTTTCACTATGGAAACTTACTGGAACACGAGGGGAATAGTACTTCAGCATCAGTATTTTAATTACAGCAAAGAGGAAAAGGTTGTGGCTATTGCAGTCCTGGTGGATGGGGGAATAATGTAATTGCCTTTTTGCTTTGGAGGGCATTTGTAAGATAAGTTTCATTTTGAAATGAGGGGTTTTATTTCAGTAGTAGAATATCCAAAGGGAGACAGATGCATAGAAACGTAAAACTAAATGACAGGCTTGGCATAGATACGAAGGCTCAAACTGAGAAGGTAAAATGCAGAGTAGACTATTCAGAATGTAAGTACAGATGAAAAAGAAGGTAAGTAAGTGATGAATTGGGGTTAATACAGCTTAGGGCTTTTAAAGGGTTGCCAAAAAGATGTTGAGCATTTTAGGAGAAGAGCTCTATGTCTCCATAGCCTTTGGGATGAGGCATAAGTCAGTTAATAGCAATGCAGAATCACAGAATCATTAAGGTTGGAAAAGACCTTTAAGATCATCAAGTCCAACCATCATCCCAACACCACCATGCCCGCTAGACCATATCCTGAAGGGCCACATCTACACGTTTTTTGAACACTTCCAGTGATGGTGACTCCACCACCTCCCTTTGCAGCCTGTTCCAATGCTTGACCACTCTCTCAGTAGAGAAATTTTTCCTGATATCTACTTTAATCCCACAGGCATCAGTGGGAGTGGGAATAGAATCCTGCAACTATAACTGATAGGAAGTGCCTCCTAAAAACAACTTTGTGATGCATTAGAGGCAGCAGAACTACAGGAGGACCAAGAGGGAACCAGAAGAGAAGCTGAGAGATGAGTGAGAACATAAGGCAGTGATGAACTTTAAAGATTATTGAGAAGAGGAAAACACTGAAGAGAAGCTGCCCTTGATTCTACCTAAGGGGGAGGAATATTCAGGGACCACTAATGTCCCACGTCTTAAAATACTTGTAATAGTGTCTTTCTATAATACATACATTGACTCCTTTGTGACTGAAAGCAATTATTGCAAGTGAAAAATTACCACCTTCTATCAAGCACCCCATTTAAACTCTTTATGTACGTCTTAATCTTTCCAGTTCATACCTCTGCTTTGGCAAGTTTTCTGAGTTTCTTATTGCTCATTTGTTTTCTTTTTAATTTATTTTCATGTTCCATTTATTCTCTCAAAGTGAAAACACTACCACACCTTTAATTTCTTCAAAAGACCTTCAGTTTCATGAATGCACCATTGGTGATTATTTCAAAGTAGTAACTGGACACTGCTGCTTCCCCTTTCAATTTTTGAGACTGATACAGCTAAGCTTAAGTTTTCTTAAGTTTAAGAATGTTAAAAGTTACAAAGAGTGTTTGAATTTATTTTGTAGGTGATTAATGTATACAAAAGAATGCGGCAGATACTGACAAAGTGATGATTTTAAATATGTAAGCTTTTTTCAAAGTAGTTATATTTTTCAGTTATAACTTTTTAAAGTATTTTAAATTTTATTCACAGCTTTGAATTTTTAAAAATTACTCTGTAGATTTAAAAGATGTAAATGTAAGACAGTCACTAAACTGGAAAGTTTTATAATTTTTTTTAAATCACAGGTTAGTCATAGTCCTGTCAAAGATCCAGGTATTAGGTCAGCATCTTATGCCTCCACCTTCAGGAAGACCTTGGCAATATTGTTGATCTAGTAATGAATTCTTAGCCTCCAAATTTCAAACTTAGCTGTGCAAGAGGCACCTAATCATTGCTTGATATTTTATCATAATAAAAGATCTCAGAGAAAAAGCAGCATCCAGTTTGAGTTTGCACAAATTATTTCACAATTCTCTGTGTCACTTCTTTGCTGAGAGCATGCTTTATTCCTCAGGCATCTAAAAACGTCTCAAGTTGTTGGCAAATAAAATGAATACTATTGCCTGGTATATATTTGTAAATTATGTGCCAGTGGAAAAGATATAGTTTGGAAGGAGTTCAAGAGTTTGATTTTAGGAAGCGTTGTGATGACAGAGAAATGTTAAACGAAGTCAAGGAGAAACATGGGCAAGAGAGCCATGCCGAAGTCAGGGAGATGAAAGTGAGACAAGAAGAAATAGCTACTAAGTTACATGCATGATTAGGACAAGATTTTCTCCCTTCACTTTTTTTTTTAACTTTGTTTTGTTTATTACAGGCCTTTTTCCTGATGTAGGTGGAGGATACTTCTTGCCAAGACTATCGGGGAAGATTGGCTATTACCTTGCACTAACAGGATTTAGACTGAAAGGAAGAGATGTACTAAAAGCTGGCATTGCTACACATTTTGTAGAATCCGAAAAGGTAAGCTGCTAACCAGTGCTAGCAAGGGCACAGCCTACAACCCTAGTGACAAGTTGTGAGTTGTGTAGCACAGCAATAGACTCTTACCAACTTGAGTGTATGCAGCAGCGCGATTATATTAGCTGGCTGTGCACTGTGAACAGGAATCCTAAGATACTCTCAAGCTGTTGTTATAACACTTGCCAACTAGTGACAGCTTTGCTTGGAAGAGGGAGCAAATGTTGCTGTTTTGATGATTCTACTGTTGAAGGGCATGATTTACTGAGCATAACTGAAGTTGCTTGAAAAATTGTACAATTTAAACAACAGTGCCTGAAATTAGACATTATTTATACAGCTGCAAAGTTTTTAATCTAGGTGACACCCCATTAATGTGTTCTTTATCAGTGTCTTTAACAGATATCCTATTTGTTTCTTACAGCGGCTGTAAGAAAGTGTAAAAATTAGTGTATTTGATAGTCAGAGTCATAAAGTCCCAGTAACCTGGATGGACATAAGTGAAGGAGAAACAATGACTTGCTTCTCTGCGGAAAGACCCATGAGTGTCATTGTGGAGCTGGTTAGATACTATTTTGAGCAGAGCATGGTTACCAGGCTCCTGCTCTTTCAGACTGTTGTAGGCTGGCTTTACCTGCATCGGGGCTCTGCTCTCTCAAAGAACTCTGCAGCATTCTTTGCTGATCACTGCAGACATAATTAAATCCAGATGGTTCAACACTGAAAAGTGAACTCGGGCTCCCTGTATTGTTTTCTTGGTACCTCTAAGATCTGTCCGAAAGTTTGGGGGCATGGGTGTCTGTTTATATATATATATATATATATATACACACACACACATACTATATACAGTACTATTACCATAGCAGTAATAATCCAAGTAGTACATTTTGTTTTACTTACTTTTAATTAAAATCTTATTTTTTAATAGCTACCTGCCTTAGAGAAAGACCTGATAGCACTGAAATCTCCTTCAACAGAAAATATTGCAGACTTACTGAACTCTTACCATGTGAAGGTAACCTGATCAGTTACTGAAATCAAGCAGTTATTATGAAATCAAGCATATTGTTAAATATATGTAAATACAAACTGGTTTTTTATCCATGCTACTGATCATTTGTTTTATGGTTAAAAAATAATAGGTTTCCAAACTCTTTGCACTCTATAAAGTACTAATTTGTAGCACTAATGCCTACAGTGGTCAAAATTAAAATTTAAAAGTCTTTCTTCACTTTTTATTCATTTTGGACACCCTCCAAATTCCTATTGTGATCAGCTCGCTCTCTTTCTATGTGTGTGTGTAAGTTTCCAGCCGGTAGCATGATGATGCAGAGAATATATTGCTGCTAAATTTTTCCTGTTATTCTTGGATTTCTAGCACGCTTTGCAGAAGGCAAAATAGATAGCCACTAGCAGACTGGGAGGTGTACGTGATGGCAACTGCAATCTGGGAGTTAGCCTGAAATTCAGGGATTCTGACAAACACAAATGACAGCCTAGTCCACAGGCTGCAGAAGTTATAGTGCCAGTTATTAAATGCTATGCTGCTCACTTGGAAGTGGATGTTATGTTTCCATCCCAGAAACTTTCTCTTTATTGACCTGAAGAAATAATTTGCTAGCTTGATGCATTTGATGTACATTTTAGTATTATTTTGATGCAGACCATCTGCAGTCCAGATTTGAAGTCTGAATTTAAGGGCTCAAGTTGTTCCTTCAGTTTCGCAAATATTTTATGTGTTTGTAACCTTGAGATAATTGAAAGATTGTGAATAAGCACAGCAGTTATCAATAGGATAAGTATTAGCAGAGTGCAGATATCACAGAATTATTACGGTTGGAAAAGACCTTTAAGATCATCAAGTCCAACCGTCAACCCAACACCACCATTATATGCTGTAGGGGAAGCATCTGGGGGCTTAAAGCAATGTTTTCAGGGCAAGGAAGGTGCTGTTTTCTCAGTGGACAAAGCCATAGTCCTCTGTTGTCCTTTTGGAGGTGAATGTAACTTTATTGATAATCATACATAATTAGTATTTGTATTATCCCTATGTAACAATGGGCATGAAAATTAAAGGCTTTGGGTTTACAATCAGTTTATTCGGTGGCTATTTTAGCTGTTTTGATATGCATTGTACATTTATTTCAAAAGAAAGGAAACTTCTGGAGTCAAATGAGGATTCAGTGTACTCAGTCAATCTGAGTATTACTCCCCAGTTTGCCTTTAAAATGAGAGGTGTCTACTCTTGTTTCTGTTTTGGAATTACTAAGTTCATACATAAAGATTAATTAGAAAAATAAATGTGATAAGCTGATTTATATAGTAGTACTGATTATCTTGACAAAATAGAAAGCTATGAAATAGGAGTGATTGTATGTTGCAGTATACTGCTTTACAAGATGACGTTTAATGGAAAAGGAAGCTGTGTATTTCTAGTTATCAGAGCTGACGTGACAGGGAACCTTCCTCAGCTTCAGCTGCTGTTACTGAAACATCTGCTTATGTCCTAAACCCCTTAATGCCAGAAGATCTGAAACATTTGACAGCCTTTCCACATAAGGCCAACAGATCTTTCACACTCTTTAGTTGTCTAAAGAAAATTTTGTAAAACGACAGAGAAAAGATAAGGAAGATAAATGCTCTTTTTTTTTCTATTTTTTTTTAAATACATATATACATGTCTGTACATTTTTTAAGAAAATCAAACTTTTTTCTAACATTCTTAGTTTTTTTAGTAGATTTATCTACAATGGCTTTTTTAGTGTATTTGATAGAAATGTATGGATAGAATAATCAAGATTACTTGTGTACAAGATAACCACCCAGTCAAATATACATACATAGTAGCTCAGAGAAAGCACTGCATTATGAAGTGACATCTTTGACATTCACAAGATAAAGTGAAAAGTTCATTTATACACATTGCAAAATTGTAATTCATTTAAAATGTCAGTGTCTTATGAATATTAAGTTAGTTTATGATATTTCTGTAACACATCATAGAACTTTTTCAGTACTGATAAGGTTTTCAGTCTAAAGTAACCAAGTAAAATAGGTATTTGCTTTTTAAATAGAGCAAAGTTGATGAAGAAAAGAAGTTTGTACTTGATGAACATATGGAGAAGATTAACAGGTATTCAGCAATCTTTCTTCTTTTTTATTCTTTTGGATTGATACTGTTACTGGATTCAACTTCATGTTATCTGTGTTCCACAGATAAGGTGATAGAAATGACATTCAAGTTAGTAATTTAAACTTTTTTGTCTTTAGGGAGCTTTATCTGAAGCTCATTAAGTATTTCACTTGTCAGTATATTAAATACTTGAGCATATTTTCCTGATTCATACACCATTATATTAAGCAACTATGGCACATCAAAATTTTCTATAGAAATTCGATGGAAATTTGTGAGAGTAATTGTTCAGTTGGACAGGAAATGTTACATAGCGCATTTATAGTCACTCGTATAAGGCCATTTCTATGATTATTTGGAACTTCTATGTATCAATCAGAAGGGGAAGGAGAAAAAAGTGAGAGTGATAAGCATCAGCTAAAACTCTTGAAGAAGGATGGCAGTAACTAATTTTAGAGATTAAAGATGTTAACACCAAACTAGTAGAATAGAGCTGATGGCTAAAGATTTGATGTGTTATAAAAATACAGATTGGATTGATGGTAGTAATTAAAGTTGCTGGATAAATATCAGAATTTCTAAGTGAGGTTTATTGAAATGCTAAAGATTTGTAAAGGAAGAGGACTGTCAATTGAATTATTTAAAACTGAACAACAGGGAACACATTGCTAAGAATAGCCAAATCAGCTGGTTATGCTCCGTTTCCAATTTCTGTGTTACTAGCACTTCATAGGGAAGAGAAAGGCTGAAGTAGTTCATCCATTTATTAGCGTCTTTTTTTTTTTTCCTAGTCTTTTTTCAGCAAAGAGTATGGAAGAAATTGTTAAAAAATTAAAGCAAGATGGTTCTCCTTTTGCCATTAAGCAGCTAGAGGTAATGTCTTCTATGTTATTTTTGTTAGAGATTTTAAGTCTGGTTCTGTACTTTCTTATCATGGGGTAGATTTTAGTCACCTTATTAACATAACCAATACTACGTAACAATAGTAAGACATTGGACTGAGATCCTCAGTTTCTCATATATAGTCCTGTGGAATTGTTAGTAGTCCTACTCAGACAAGAATATTCCTCTATAAAACCACATGATGTGAATACCATCATAAATTGCATAAAATTGTAATCTAGTAAAAAAACCCAACAAAATCCCTTTCCCCCTCCCCACAATCAGGGGGCTGTTGGTGACAAAGGTTCCTTTTATAGCTTCTCATTTTATTGCCAAGGGTTGGAATAAAATAGTGCCAGACAATGTTGCTCATTTTCTTCCATTCCAGGTATCTCATTGGGTAAACAGCAAGCAATTTATCATCACAAAGTATATTTTGATCTTTTTATTGCATTTCTGAGTGTTGGATGTAGTCACTCAAAAAGTATACAGTGATGCTATACACTTAATACACACTTCAGCCTCAAAAACAAGAAGCAACTTATAAATTAATATAAGTAACGTGCGTATTTTTTCTTTCTTGTTTTAAATATCTGTATTCAGGTGCCTTGTAAAAGTTTGTCTTGGAGCTATTAAAATATTAGTTACAATTGGACAGAACATGAGCATTTCTCCAACAAAAGCTTTGTTTCGACTTTAGTTACAGCTCACAGAAGAAATCCTGCTCTTATAATAAAACAAAACATCCATCATCTTTGGACTTTCATTTGAGCAGAAGGAATATAATTTTAGAATATAGTATCATTAACATTATGCATCCAGATACACAGATAGATTTTTTGTTTTAGTTTCTAATTAAAGATTTAACATTTTGTCACTGGAACTCTCAAACAGTTCTTGAGAAAGGAAGTTTTAAACTTATCTTTGTGCCAACTGGTACACCTAGTACATTGCAAGAAGTTTAGTGTATGCCTTACAAAAGCAAAATTGAATGAAAGGAAACGCTAATTTTTCTCCCCACTTGAATACAAGTTTCATTGAATAGTCAAGTGAGCTAGTGCTAGAACAATCATTTTATGTGTTTGTAGACCTGAATTCTACCATAGGCCACCGTTCATGGTTTTCCCCCAAACTACATAAGCTGTATGATTCAGTTCTTCATTTTTTCCCCTATGTTATAGGTGGCAGGGAAAGTACTTACATTAAGGTCTATTGAGACAGTTTGATAGCATGTTAAAAGCAGGCACTTTTGGTAGCTCTTATTTCTTTATAGTATTGAGTTACAAGGCAGTATTTTATTTGTAGATTTTATGAAGTTCAGTATAATTCTGCAGAGATACTATATTGATTAGTTTCAGTGGAGGTTGAAAACAATCAAGAATTATTTGCATATAGCTTTTCCAAAGTTAATTTCATAGGATTATGACACTTGAAAACATAATCAGACCTAGTGGAACTTTTAAAAATAGCATGTAGCCTTTAAAGGGTGCTTTGTTCAAAATACAGTTTCTACTACAAAAGATGCAAGGAGCGTGGAAACACTTTGTTACTGAAATATGTTAGCTAGATAAGTTTGTTCTGCCCTGTTTGCTCTCGTTACCCAAACCTGCTCGACTGGCTTCCTTCATTTGCAGCCTCATAACTCAGATCTCCCCTATTAAATAAATAAACGTATGTTCTTGTTTCTTGTTGTTTAGGGCAGTACATTTGTTTCATATTTTTAATTTAGAACTTAAAACTGTCATCTACTTCAAAGTTACGATTTTGTGTCGCTGATTTTTTTTTTAATTCCTGAACAAAAAACACAGCTGTTTTGTTGCTTTTTCTTTTTTCTTATTCCATGCCTTTAATAGGACTTTATAGCAGCTTTATTTCTTTCGTATGATTCGTAAATGAATGACTGTCCTTGGAGTTGACAGAAGTTCCCGAACAACTGTCTGTTCTGTTCAAGAAATGGGACTGTGTTAATGGGAGTTCTTCTGTCCATATAGAAATTTGTGAAGAAAAAAACCCCAACCCCCTCCCCCCAAATCCTCAAACCAAACACCCCACATTTTCCAGCAGGTGCAAGGCTTATTAATGTGAACAAGTAGGTTAAGTTTCAGAAAGGTTTCTAACAGTACACATTCTGTACTAAGCAGTAGGATTAAGTAAGCTTGTAGGATCAGGTACTTAATTTCTTCTGTGAAAGATCCACAAAGCCAAAGGAAAATGCATTTGTGGGGGAAAAAAGTTAAAAAGGGATTTGGGTATAAATCTGGCTTTCTCCAGGAAATGCTTGCCAGTTAAACTGGAGGTTTTGTTTTACTAGGGAAGCAGAATTGTAATTAAACTTAATTGTAGCTGGAGGAAGAATGGTAGCTTGCACCCTGGCAGTTAAGCACTTTACAACACCTGTAGACGAGAATACTGGCCTGCTGTCACATCGCTCAGAGGAGCAGAGTTCAAAGAAGTGGTTAGAGCAGGGAACGCCTAGCAAAACCGTGACAGTCTGAGATTATCAGACATTATCCTTGATAGCAGTTTGCTGACTTGTGTGAAGCAAGTCATTTTCCTCATCAGTAGTATCACAGCACCAAGAGTGCGTCCATAGATGATTGATAGTTTCCTGTCACTTTGTGAAATCAAGGTTTCACTTTAGTGTCCAGGTACAGGAACAACAGCACATTCAAATGATAAATACAAAGACTGTAAAGGATTCAGTACCAGAAATCTGTATGCTTATTTTCTTTGTAACTGTCGTGGTTTAGCCCCAGCCGGCAACTAAGCACCACGCAGCCGCTCGCTTCCAACAATTTTGTCACCATCCCGTGATCGACAGCCCGTCCCCAAGCAGCGATTTCTGCCCCCCGGCCAACTCCAGTTTATGTACTGGGCATGACGTCGTATGGTAGGGAATATCTCTTTGGCCAGCCTGGGTCAGCTGTCCTGGCTGTGTCCCCTCCCAGCTCCCCGTGCACCCCCAGCCTACTCGCTGGAAGGCCAGCACAAGAAGCTGGACTGTCCTTGGCTGCTCAGCAGCAACCCAAAACATCAGCACACTATCAACAGCTTCTCATCCCAAATCCAAAACACAGTCCCGCACCAGCCTCTGCGAAGAAAACCAGCTCCATCCTGGCTGAAACCAGGACAGTAACTCATAGTAAAACTTTTTTTAAAACAACTCTTACTTTATAGCATTACTTTGTTTTCAGGATTTATATGAGCCAAAAAACTTTAATCTGAGTGACAGAAGTACCACTTCTAATTGGATGAAGTAAGCATGTGGGGTCAAAACCTGAAAAGTATTAGATCATAGAATCGTTTTGGCTGGAAGGGATGTTTAAAGGGCATCTAGTCCAACCCCCCTTAATGAGCAGGGACATCTTCAACTAGATCAGGTTTCTCAGAGCCCCATCCAACCCGACCTTGAATGTTTTCAGGGACAGGGTGTCTACCACCTCTCTTAGCAATCTGTGCCAGTGTTTCACCACACTCATTGAGAAAAAATTCTTGCTTACATCTAGTCTAAATCTGTCCTCTTTTAGTCTAAAACTATTACCCCCTGTCCTATCGCAACAGGCCCTTTTGAAAAGTCTGTCCCCATCTTTCTTTTAAGCCCCTTTGAAGTATTGAAACACTTTGGTTTTCACATGATGCTTTCTTACGGCTTTTTTGGCAGGACAGTGCACCTTCTGAGCACTGATACTTCATTTAATAGCCTTCATTGTTACTGAATGAATTCCAGTGTAGTGTGGAAGACACTGCAGGTACTAAGAATTACAAGACATTACAAGAATTACAGATCTACTGGTCAGGCTGGGATGCAGACACTGGCTCCTGAAACTTTAAATGGGTATGCAGCGAGTGTGTGAGAGAGATAACAGGAATGAAGCTGGATGGTATCTTAGTAGTGTTGAATTCAAGAAAGGAGCATCCTGAAACTCTATTAACAGACCAGTAAGAGAGTGATAAATCTGTCCTTAAGCAGCTTTCCTGTGGTGCTTTGGCTAGATGCTCATACTTTGTCAAAGCTCATCCAGAACCATTGTTCAGTGTGGACAACCAAATGCTGTAGTATCTCAGAAAGTAAGTGGTGGCTGTCTTCATCTGTTGCAAGGGAAGTGATACACTGGATCTCTGGGAGGGGTTTTTTTGTTTGTTTCATTTAAAGCAAGCCTCCCTCAAGGATCCTCAACAGCTCAGAAGCTTTAATGGACCCTGGAGACAAAAGATGCAGCCACTACTGCAGCTGTTACTCTTGTAAGGGACTCCAGTGAGTCAGTGCCACTTAATTCAGTCACTTTCTGATAGTATCATATTGGAATTTGGGTCTATTGCAAATTCAGCTTGTATCTTTCAAGATCATTATGTGGAAATCAAGATGGTCTCAAAGATACTGTAATAGATGTCAAATACTTGTATGAAGACTTCCTTGCATTTTAATACTCCCCACTTTGGTCTATTTTATCTCCTTTTCAGGCTTGTTCCCTAGCACCAATCCCCTCCTCCTCTTTGTACAGAGAATTTATTTATAGATACACTGGTGACTCATTTTTCTGCAATTACACCTACCCATTTTCTTTCCTTATTCGTCTTCCTTCAGCTTGATTTATGGCAGTGCCTCCTCCACCTTCAACCTCATTGATATGCCAGGATAAGGCAGCTGCTGGATGCACTAGACTAGTTAAGTGCTGTTTTCAGATCTTCCCCATTTCAATGCTTTCTTTGACCAGAAAGAACTTGCCATTACCATTTCACCTATGGAACCATCTGGTTGCACTGTGCATACCATTTAACCTGCTTTCTGATCTAGATGACAGAATATGGAAAGAAGAAAAGGTCCAGTTCAAAGGTAAAGCCAGCAAGAGCATATTACTGGAAATAAGAGGTCCAGTTAAAAGTTGCTATCTATCCTAGACATACCCAGTGATGTAATTAGAGGTATAGCCGTTTTCTTTATCTGCTGAAAGGCAGCTTGTTTTTAGAGAGCTTTACCAGAACTCAGGAAATGTGCACAGTTTGAGCCAGCATTAGTTCCTTCTAAACCAGCTTCTCTCTCAAGTGAAGTGGTCAACATGCAAATGACAGAATGACAGAACCAGTGCTTTTAAGATTCAGTTGCACAGTCTCCTGCTTGTATAGCAATTGCATGTTTTCCAGCTTAACTAGGCAAAATGGGTCACTGCTCTATCAGCTGGTGTCTGGAGAGGGATGAAGAGTAATTGGGAGCCAGAAAAAATGTTAATGTTGATGACTGGAAACCTGCCATTTCAGTCTGTGCGTAAGGAGTCTAATGTCTGCAATGAAAATAACGTAAAGAGGCAAATCTTACCATCTGCTGCTTTTCAGTAGTGGTAAAAATGTCCTAATTAACAGGAAATGTCTATTGTATTGTGAATAATACTGAGCCTTTAGTTGGGTTTACAGGGGAAGAAGAGTCTCGTTTAGAGTAAGAAAACAAAGATCAGCAACAGTAAGGTTTAGTTGCTTTTCCCCACAACCCTGAAATCTTTAAAGCTCAGTTCTGTTTTCTTAACTAGATTTTTGTTTTCCTCCCCACCTCCCCCTACTGTTTACTGGCGTGCTGTTAATTGAAGGATAGTCATGAGAGCCAGATTTACAGCATTTGTTTGTGTGCCTTAAACAGATCCTGTCTGTTGCATAATATTTATAGCCTGTAGCTCTGTCAGAAGAAGGCAGGCAAGACCTCCCGGCTTCCTATCAGCAGAGCAATGTAGGGCTAAATTATTGCAGTATCTGTTGATCCCAGACAAGAAGCCTGGACAAAGAAGCATTTATGTTTGATTTCATTTAATATTTTTTTCTTCCACAATATTCTTCATTGTATATTGTCTAGTCTTTGCAGATGATCATCAAACAACTACTTAAAGTTTTTTGCTAATCTCACTATTATTACCTTACTACTCTGACTGTTGTACCAAATAAAATGTAAATGCTCTACAATACTAATATCAGCTACAATATCAGTAACATCTAAGGGCAACTCAGACTATATATATATGATATTAAAAAATGGAATATAATTGCTTGTAACACTTGCCTTCACTTCTCAAAAGAATCTGTCTGGAAACAGCTTTCAAGCTGGATTAGGTTCTCTGGACAGTAGCAATTGATAATAAATGATGTGACCTTAGGAGTTCTAGGCTTTCAACAAGTGATGGCATACATCTCAGAGATCCTGCTGATAAAAGTTTATGCAAGTAAGTTCATTTAGTATGAACATTTTAGAATGTCATTTTAGTATGACAGCATGGTGGAAGGGAGCAGAAGGAATAGGTATCACGTAAGTGGGCTTGGGGAGTGCCATCATTTACTTCACAAAGTTTAAAATGCAAAAAAGACAGACTTGCAAATGTGTCTAAATTGAAGAGAATAAAAATAATTGTTAATATCTTCCCCAGACTATTAATAAGATGTCACCTACATCCTTAAAGATGACTCTCAGACAGCTCAGAGAAGGAGCTTCCATGAGCTTACAAGACGTACTCACAATGGAATACAGACTGAGCCAAGCGTGCATGGTAAGCAAGCGGCTGAGCCCTTTGTCTCTTTCCAGCCATGGAGCAGTAGCAAATTTATCAGAGACTAAGTTGTATACAGGTTACATCAAGGGTTTAGCATTTATAGGTTTTAATTTTCAATATCTTCTTTGTGTGTTTGGTAGGCTGTCACTTTCTTTTTTGCAGCTCCATGTCTTTATGTGCAACTTGAAGGAGACTACATGAATGATGGTCAGATGGGAATGGTAGAGGGCTTTTGTTAAGAAAATTATGCTAATGTTACAATATAGAAAGCTTTGTATTTGGGCCATAATTTTAAAACTTTGCTGTTCTTGAACAAATTTCCTATTAAAATTACTTAGTCCTCAGTACCTCAGTTCCCATCCGCAGGATGGGAATAGTTGTATATTGCTGCCTTTCAGGAGTGCTGTGAGAAATTTGAAGAAAATAAGATATTTTAGTACTATTTGTAGTAAGGGCTGAGTACTTGGATAACATACAAGGACGTGATCCTTTCCTGGAGTAGAAAAGAGTTGCTAACTGAATTATCTGAACAAATTCCTCCAACCTTCCTCATGGCATCCTTATTATTAGTTTTGTCACATTTTAAAATAATATTTTTATGTATCTGACTAAATGATTTGTGAACCTTAAAGTAAATACTTTAAAAAAAGGGTGAAAACATACCTAATTCTGATACGTTGTAGTGCCTGACAGTACCCTTGCCATATCTTTCCTGAAACAAGTATAGTTGCTCCATCAGTAGTGAAGCATCTTTAGGGATTTAAATGTTACGTTTAGCTTTATAAAAAAATACCTGGATGTTTCCAGGATTCCATTCAACTGCAGAGTGTTCCAAGTATGCAGAATACATCACAATTCCTGAAGACTGGCCTTTCTCTGAAGAATTTGTGATCCTACACACCTTTAGCCCCACATCATGCAAAACTCTTTAGAAAAATCTAGGTGTAACACAGAGACACTAGAGGTGTAACTCAGAGAGAGGGCTTGCACTGCATAAAAGTTGGCTGATCAACTACAGTTCAACAGACTGATTTTAAGAGTTGTGGCTACATTTAAGCAAGAGGATATAGAGCTCTTTAATAAATAAAGAGAAAGTAGGACTAAATGAGAAGTGGGATTTAACTGAATCTGGAGAACTTGATAGGGAAACATGGGCTCAACAGAATCTGTCATGTTACAGCTTTTTTTTTGTAAATCTTTCAGAGAGGCCATGACTTCTATGAAGGGGTTCGAGCAGGTAAGCATGCACATCAGAAATGTTTCTCAAACTTAGTAATATGCAAACTCACTGTTGTGTTGTTTCTCTGGTGGTTAAAAAAAGTGCATGCAGCAACAGTCCAGAGAACACTTTGCAGCTTGCTACAGTTTTGCTTATTAGACTCCTGTATGGCCAAAATTCATTATTTGTTCCAAAGTACAACAGCCATGTTGTTTCCTTTATGTAATCTCAGTTTCCTAACGTTATTTTTCCACCTGGTAGCACAGCACCTTGAAAAGGTTTCATCAGTTCATTAGAAATGTTCAAAATATATTTAATGCTGACAGTAATGAGTACCTATGTGTATCATTTGTATGTCCCAATTTAGCATTGCCACATAGCTGGTTCAGCCAGCTATAAGATGGTTTAAGACTCAAAGTCAAGAACAACTATTTGTGTAGAAAATTGTTAGAACAGAGACTACTTTCACCCATGTCCAAAATATCTCTACATATATAGGTTTTTTTAATACTATGACATCTCTATATAAACTTAATGATAAATAATTCCGCACTTTAAGGCATTGGTTAAGATAGGTAGTGGTAAAAGTAGAGCAATGGCTCAGCAAGTTCATTTAGGGGACAGACTTTGATTCTGTCCTTGATTCTACTGCTGATTCACTATGCAATTTGTCAAACCCAATGTCACATCTGTTAGAAACTGTAGTAATTATTTATGTACTGTTCAGAGCAAGATGAAGTAAAGCACAGGTATTTCCTTTTCCAAGGAGCTTACAGTACAAGACATTTGTATGAATAACACTTTGGGGCTGAGGGAATGTGGCTTTTAATTCACACAGTTATACACTCAAGTATGTATTATCACCTCCTCCTCATTTCTTATATCTGTCTTTATAAAGTAGTTTAAAATCCACTTAAGTAACGGATACTGAATGTTCACTATTAGTAATACTATCTTAAAGATATCCTTTAAGTGATATCTTTGGAGTGAGAGATGCAAAGTTTGTTTGTACAGCATAGAAGAAGTTTCTGATTTTAATTAATTAATCTTTAGCACTTATTAGCAGAGACTACTTTGAAGAATTTACCACACATGTTGAGAAGTACGTGGTTTTCATTGTGTTGGTAACGGTACAAGGGTATCTTAAAAAGAATATTCCTAGGATATATTCTAAATCACCATATAAGCTGATGAAGTGTAGTTATCCAGGAAGTGACAAACTCAAAGTCAGAGTCAGATGAATACCAAACCAAATTCTCATTTGTAATGCACAAGGTTATTAAGCCATCTGGGGATGTGGTAGAGGACAAAAGCAAGTAATTTATCAGTATGGCCAGTAAAATCCACAAACTGCTTGTACAGAAAGAAGCTGCAGGAACAGCAGTTGGGAAGCTTCTCTTTTACATAGGATGATGTAGCAAAGGCGTAACTTTTGGGGAAGAAAAAAACGCCAAACACCAGAGATCCAGCTGCACTGAAGGGATTGCTAATAATAATAATAATTTGTTCCTGAAGCACTTTTGCTCTCTGCTTACTGCATATATCTTGTTCTCAGATTTGTTGTCTTAAAATTGTTTCTCATGTTTAAGAGTGGTGCAGAACCTGACTCAAGGTAATTTTTGTAGTTGGGTCTAACCTTATAAAAATCATTATCCAACAATGTGCTGAGCATCCTTTTTAATAGGAAGTAATATTATTAGGTACTTCACAGGATCAACCGTAGTGAATAAAAATGAAAATGATAAAAATGTTAGCATAAGTATCAGCTTTTTCTTTATTAAAGCATTACATTCCAAGCATTTAAGAGCCAGCTGTTGACCCTGTCTACCACAAGAGGATCTACCACAAAGTAAAGATACAATAATCAGATTTTAGTTTTTGAAGATTGTTTTTCAGCAGAAATGGCCATAGGTCAGGTTTTAACAACAGCTTTTATCTGCTTCAAACCATAATTTTAATAGGCATGCTAGGGAAGTAGTTTGTTTAAAAGCTTTTTAAACCTGCTTTGACCTGAGGTCAAAATTTCATTTTTCTTTTAGCCAGTTTTCTTTCAACCAGACTGAAAATCATCTGGCAAACAGTCTTCCCCATTTACGATGCTTGTAATTGGAGCTACTAAAGAAAAGCCAAAACCCTTAAAGCATAAAACACACAATCCTATTTCATCAACATGTTCCCATATAATGGTAAATGTGGTCTTTGAACACTTTAGGTATCCATTTTTCACCTTGATTTATAGAATAACACATAAACTAAGAAATGCATAGCTCTGGGTAATTTCCAAGAATTTTGTTTTTTAATTCTTACTGCATAAGAAAAGTAATTTTTGGAGCCGGTGCTCAAACACATCCAGGTAGACTACAATCTCAGCAGCCCGAGGGGACAAAAATCTGTTAAATTAGCCTCCTAACTATTTGTGCAGGAATGTGCACTTCAAGTGGAATTGTAAAGGCCTTCTACGACCTTGCTGATCCTGCAAAGATCTTATTTCTGTATGGCTTTTGCCCTCCCTCCTGCAGTGCTAGCAGCTGGCAGATGTGAGCCTCACCCTGGGCACACAAACCCCTTGCAGTCGGTGAGCAGGTAGAGAGATTTCATTGCAACTAACAGAATTTCAAGTGCTTAGAAGTATCAGTGTTTTGACTGTGCTGAATGAAGCTAAGCAATAGAACACTACTTGAAGTCTGGTGAAGTCACTGCTACTGAACAGAGGGGGTTGGATTTAAAAAAAACCAAAACAACAAAAACATAAAACACAAGAACAAACCCTTAACACAATGTCTATGTTCAATTACTTTTATCTTATTGAACTTCCCTTAGCCTACCTTAGAAGTCTTCAGAATTTTTGTTCCATTCTTGTAGCGATTGGTATCTTAAGCTGGTAAAACACAAAATACACAGAAGTTAATGCAGAAAGGGAATATTTTCACAATACTATTAGAAAACAAGTATTTTAACTCATACTCATTTAAGAGTAAAGATTTCATTGGAGAGACCATTATGATCATTCAGTTTATCCACCAGAATAAAACTGGCCACAGATCCAAACAGAAAGATTAACTTGATTACACAGTAGTGCCATAGAGTGGAGAATTATCAGCAATTACTACTGTATTTCAGAGTTGAAACTGTAGCAGTAGTATACATATGGCCTTCCCTCCCCTTCCCTGTAATTTAAAGCATCTCTAGTCAGTGTTGTCTTTTGTGGCTAAGAGTTAAGATAGGAGTTCAGATTATTTTGGCCAGATTGTGAACTTCAGTTAAGTTGAAGAAAATCATTAGGAAAGAACTACTCCCATGGAATAAATATAGTTGATTTGGGACTATTATGTATTTTGACCCAAACCAATCAATGGCTTCACATCACAGTGTTTAAAGTTAACTTGTAGGATCCTAACCTTTCAGTAAGTTACCCAGTTGAATCACTTAGTAAAATAATGCTTTTACAGCATAATTCTTCAATTGCCCACAGGGATCCTACTCTCTGTGGAGTTGCAGCTTCTGTCTATATAATGGGTTTCTTTTTAAAATTAGTGTTCATTTATATCCAAGGAGTCTTTAGTCCTGTATTTGCAGGTAAATGGGTGCAACGCTCTGATTCTCCTTTCTCTTTGGAGATGCAAGCTTAAGAGTTGTGATGCCTGTATTGTCTTCAGCTACAGAAATATTATTTAGTGCAGTTGTCATTTGAATGGTATTTATTTTCTGGGCATTTTCTAAGTGCTGGTTATAGAGGGGGAAGTTAGTTAAGAAGTTTTCAAGCCACACTTTTTACCACAAACTGCCATAATGCCTGTCTTTTGATAAGACACAATCTTTAGGTGGGCATTGTTTCTACTGAACTTAAAATCCAACTCCTTTCCACACTTACCCTGCATGGTTAAAGTTTAGTCACCAAGAATGAAGTTTGCTTAGAAACACATGACAACTTACCAAAAAGCAGCTGTTACTCTTCAAAATATCTGTGAGCATCTTCTGTTCACATGCTTTTACAACCATCCTACCCTGAAGTCTTTGTCAGAAAGAACGAACGAACAAAAAAACAAACAAATTCCATTCTCAGCAGAGGAACTTGAGAGGTGCTTCCTGCCAGTCCCACCATGGGCCATGTTGGTCAGGCGGTCTCCCAGGACACAGATGCATCTCTAAATCAGGTGCTGATGTCACACATCTGAAGGGAATGTGTGTTGAGGAGGGATGTTGGGTAATCGGTGCATCCTATGGAGCCACAGTTACTATAGCTGTTTTTTTTTGTAAAAATATCACATTTTGAACAGCACCTTTGCAGGTTTTCTTGGGGCCAGAAAAGATGCTCTGGAATTCCATTCATATTGATCACTTTTACACACAAATAAACACTCTCTTGTCTTATTGTTGCTTGCTAGTGCAGCTGTTCTTGCTGACATGCCTTCAACATTCCTGTCATCCAAGGAATGCTTTTTCAGAATTGATAATCTTCTTGTTACACTTATACATGTGATTCATTCACTGAAGATTTTATCTTCAGTGATGTACTTCTTAGGATACAGCATAAAGTATACATACTAAGATGATACAAATCTTCACAGTTAAATCTACATAGGTCTGCAGTTATCTGTCAGTATTTACAAATAAATATTCTTGATTTTCCCACAAAGATACTCTGCTTTACTTTCCTCATTAGTTATTTCATTATTAGTTTATAAGATGTGTTTATATTAGCTGTAGGCTTTTAACACCTACTTTGAGTCAGCTCCTATACTCTACACCTTGTCCAAAAGGAGCATTGTGCATACCGTTCCCAGTTTCATATGAAAAAGAAGTCAGGCAAGAGTAGTAGGTCTAACAGAAAACACTAATTTCAGGTATATTACTTCAAAGCTTGGGCTACTTCTGAAGTGATCCACTGTTCCTTGTATCATCAGGCACTTCCCCAGATATGTCTCTAGACAGGTCACAACTCAAGAATTTTTATTAGAGTAGGAATACCTGTTATAAAAACTCTTGTCTTCTCCAGAGCATATTGATTTTTCTTGCCAATGTCTGTCTTGATGGAATCTGAAGTCATCTCAGTTAGAGAAAGTTCACAAGTAACTTTTGTGGTTTTATATTCCACCTGACAGTGCTGATTGACAAAGACCAATCCCCCAGATGGAAGCCAGCTGCTCTAGAAGAAGTCACTGATGAATTTGTGGATGACTGTTTTAAGCCATTAGGAAACAACGATCTCAAGTTGTAAAGATGAAGCCTATTGACATCTTATACATCTGCTCAATTATAATTATATCTGCTTGATATAAAAATTAATAATAGTATGGTAAAGTTTGACAGGACTCTTTCAGCTAGCCTGAGATTCGTAAGTCTACTTTTTTGCATTCAGGAATATTCTCTTTTGTTATGCTGTCATAATGATAAAATAATCATATCTTTGGTTAATAACGGGAAAAATTACTTCAAGACTAATTGTTATTTTTACTGCTTTACACAATGATTAACATTTCATTTTTTGCATCAACCCTTAGTTTAGGAGGAACCTTTGGGGGAGACAGCACAGTTAAGGGATGACCTAATATGCAAGAAGTCAGGAGACCTTTGTGTTCTTGGCTCTATCACTGATCTGTTAAATTTGGATTGTGCCTCAGATTCTTCTCTATACAATGTAAATAAAATATACTTAAAGCTTTAAAATAGTCAGAGCTACAAAGGAAAATGCAAGACATGCTAAATCCATGGTGTTAAGTAGCCTTTTAAGTAAAAGGTCAGACATTATTAGTCCGAGAGAAAGAAATTGTTCTATTGATTTAACATTTGGTCAGTATTCAGTCTTGCTATGTGATGTAGCCATTGTGTCATGTGTCATAATATTGCCAGAGCCTAAAGCACACTTCTGTTTGCTTGTAAAACCAATTTTTAAACAATGCTATTAAGTTTGATTGAACTGCATAATTAGGTTTTTTTCATTATTTCAAAAATTGATAGTTTTTCCTGGTCTTACAGTGGTGAAGAAATAACTGTCTCAGCCCTTCCTCTGAACACCAAGCAGCACATTTCCTGCCGA